TCCCAACTCTTGGCTTTCTTGGTGTCATGAGCTCAACCTCAGGCTGTCTGCTCTTATGTGGAAGGTCACTTCTCTTCCAGCTGTCCCAGTGGAGGTGCAGATCCCTTACACACCTGTGATGTTTACAGCTGTGAAGGGGAAGCTTTCACAGGCCTATGTGCTCAGCCAGGCACACTTGTCTGTAGTGTAACAGTGCCAAACCACCTCTACTGCAGTCCTCCAAGGGCAGAGTGGTCACCCAGTGAAGCCAAGGCTTCTCCAAACAGACCAGGGGCCAGTGGGAGAGTATGTGCAGAGTGTCTCTCACACAGTTGCCCAGAACATGCTGGACACTCATCTGGAGACTGTTAAATGGGTGAGGAACTGGCTGGATAGTCACCTCCAAAGACTTATATAGAACAGCTGAATGTCCAAATGCAAACCTGCAACTTGTCCTTCCAGAGTCCTTCCTGGGACCAGTACTGTTTAATATTCAATGGGATTGAGCACACCCTCAGCAAATGTGCACCTGACACCAGTCTGAGTTGATTCATGAGAGGGAAGAGGGACCTTGATAGGCTGGAGAAGTGGGCCCATGAAAACATCATGAAGTTCAACAAGGCCAAGGGAAAGGTTCTGCACCTGGGTCAGGGCAATCTGCAGTTCCAGTAGGGAGTAGGGAATAGGGAAGAGCTTTACAGAGAAGTACCTGGGGTTACTGGTGGGTGGTAACATGGGACATGATTTGGCAAAATGCACTTGCTGCTTAGAAAGAAAGTTGTATCTTGCACAGTATAAGAGGTAATAAGGCAAACAGTGTGATGGGCTGGTTCATGCCCTCTAAGCTCTTTTTGTGAGACACCAGCTAGAGCAATGCATGCTTTCAATGACCTTGAAAGAGCCCTTCCAACCAAAACCATTGTTTGAATCTATGAAGGACTTGGTGTGGCTTTGCACTTTCCCATTGTCAGCCCCTCAAGTATGGAGATGAAAAGAAGGATGTTTCAAGAATCACAAACAAAAGAGTAACTTTTAAATCTGCTCCCTTAGCATAGAGATGGCTTCCATTGCTTTAGGATGATCCATTTCTTGGGTTAATTCATCCCAGGTAATGAATTCAGCAGAATCCATGATATCACATACAGTGCAAAAATGGTCTTGAAGTCTTCCCTATATTATCGTTTAGTGGTCCTATAGTTGGGCCTGGTTTTATTAAGAGCAACTGAGTTCCTTCCTTTATCACTCTGTTATGAATATTTGTGAATATTTGCTTCTGACTATTCATTGTGATAATGACGTAAAAGCACCCGACAGCGCATCTCAGTTCCAAAGGCCTTAGGAAGCACAATAAGCAGGTCCTGCTTTGATTGCTGATTGGAATGGAGGAGAGACCCCAGCGCCGGCGCAGCCCCAGCCCGGCCCCAAGTTGGTCCCCGCCGAGCGCGGCCGT